AATTATTAACCCTTTAAAAAAAACTCTCAGGGAATTTCCTTTTTGTGATGAATCCTGTATAGCAGGTTCTCCACCTGGATTGCCAACAAGGAACAATTTGTTTTTTAGACATAGTAGCTGGTTGTATGGTTTTCAGTTTCTGTTATTAGAACAATCCTTTAAGGTAACAGTGTTTTTGAACAAGGTCTCTAATCTGAATAATTAGAAATTACAGGCATGGAAATGAAGCTGATCACTTGGGTTTAATTCACCACTGTTCTTATTTTTAACTCCCCAGTGCTCCAATGTCATTTTTTCCCTCCCTATTTCCCCTTTCTATATGTAAATAAAAGCATGTACCCACATAATTCATTTTTATAGGTAAAAATTATGCAAAATCTTTGAAAATATCCTCTTCTAATATATGTGTTTTAAGTATTTCTACATGTATATATATTTTTTTTATACTTTTGATGTTTTTTGCATCTAATCCCTACTTTTCCAGTGATTTTTCTAAAATATGAAGAACATCTAACCAAACTAACTCTAAAAGGACTTTGCAGGGTAGTTAGAATTAATGAGATATTTGACACATATTTAGTGCAAAATCTATGTAAAAGATGGCTTCATCTGTACCTGTACGTCAGGTATAAAACAGAAACAAACAGAGGTGCCTTACAGTCGGTGAATCAAAAGATGGACAACTGAAAATAAGGGTTCAAGAAAATTAAATAAATAACCTGGATCTAAAAAAAAAAAAAAAGTCAGTTTTAACTTTTGAATAAAATTAATTGATTCACTGAGAAAAATATACAAAATCCATGTGATAGGCTGAAATAATCTTTAATTTAACTGCTAACGATGCCAGTATTCAGACTAACCTGTTCTACTGTAGGCATTTATGATTGTATTTTCTAACAGCTCTAAGTCTATTGCTGTCCTTTTTTATTGTAGTATAGAGACATACCTCTCCTAGATGTGAGTCTCCTAAAGGTCCTTTGGTCTCTGTGTTGGCAATGACCACTTTCACTCCTGGAAGGATCTACCCAAGCAGAAAGCCATGTCCAAGTTAAACAACACTTCAACTGATTAGGAATCATATCTACAGCATAAAGATGGTCTCTTTTTCTTTAGAACATATCATTTTTTCCTTTATTTTTACCTTCCCAGACTCCATCAGGGGCAGACTGTGAGGGGATCCTCTCTCCACTAGGCGGACCCTGGAGAGGTAAACATGAACCAAATAAGTAATTAATCAAATTAAATAAATAGCAGGACTATAATTACATTGTAATACACTGAAGCTCATCTTGAGAGAACTAAATCGCTGCAGTGCTGCCCCCTACCTATCGTGCCGTAGAGCTCTCATGTCCACATAAACAGTAGTGGGATCTGGTCCAGATGTTCCCTGGAGTAAAAGAAACAGAACTTGGCATTACCAAACTGGTTCAGTCCAGATATGACCTCTGTGTGCCATCTGGGTGAGGAGAAGGTGGAGGCTGGTTATGAAACAGCTGCTGGAAAAAGCAGGAGGCAGCCAGAAGCCAGGCTACAGGAGTTAGGACTGAACCATGGACAGAGAGATATACGCTCCCTCAGATCCTCTGACACCACCCAGTGGGGAAAGGGTGGAAAAACAAAACCAATGTCTAAAAACACTGCAAAAAATCAAATCTAAATAAGTTATTTTTTTCTTAAAATAAGGGATTTTTTTCTTGAATTGAATTGGATGTAAGTGAGACACTTTGGCAATGACACAAGTCAATTTACATTTAATATAAGAAAAACAATTGCATTTTCTCATTTAAAGTGCATATTATCTTATTTTAATAGTAAAAATACTTATTCCATTGGCAAAGGGAAATAAGGGTAAATACAAGGGGTAAATACACTTATTTCAATGTTTTTTAAGTTTTTGCAGTGAAGTTGAAATTTTGAGAAATATTTTTGGAGGATGTTCAGCTTATTTTTAACTAAACTTCCTAGAGGAGAAATTGATCCTGACACTTAGGATTTATCATCTTTTCTTTGGTAAAACCACAGCATCAAATTATATTTTCAGTTATTCCTTTTGCTAATGTATGGACAGTGCTTAAGCTACCAGTCACTGTTTTTGTATTTAGCTTCATGAGTTGGTTCATGCCTCTCCATAATAGCAGTATTTTCAGCAGCACATTTATGGAAAATTTCAACAAGACTCAATTAGTGTTTACCAGGAAACGAAAGCCCATTAACATTGTAAAAACAGATACAAACCAGATTATATCTGTTTTTGATAAATTGTTTAAAATCCCTGCTTCATACAAATGTACTTAATATATGTTTTAGTCAGTCTAGCTGTTCCTCAGTATAAAGTGCTGAATAACACAGAATAATTTATCTCAAAGGATGAGTGAGAATCCAATTACACATGAAAAATGGGCTAAAGCAAAAATGATGCTAAATGAAGCAGAGGCTCATTAAATCTAAATCAAAGCAAATAAAGATAAATGTAAACCGAAGCGAAGCATGTTCAAACACCATGCGAGAGACAAAAAGAACAACAAATGGCCACATAAAAACACAGACTGAGCTGCAGAGCACAAAGCCGTTCTCATCCCACAGTACCTGCTCAGCCAGTTTCCCTAACCTGTTGGGCTGACAGGACGGGGCAGGACAGATAGAGATATAGATGTATGCGTTCATATATATATGTAAGACAGACACAAATAAACTTGTGTACCAGTAAAGGAAAACATGTACATTTACCAAGTTTGTAAAACAACTTTAAATCCATAACTACACTAAGCACTGTCCATTGTGCTTATGACCTGTTAGGAAATCTTTCATCTTTTCTGCCCTAAAAAAATATCAGAAACTCAAAATATTTTGATTAAAAAACTTATCTTAAAATAATCTAAAATGGTTCTAAAAGCTAAAACATTAATCATATTTTTCAAGGTTTTCTGGAGGTTTATTACATATTTTGTATATTTAAATATAATAGTTTTACTGTTTGTTTACATTTGTCATCGATCATTATTACAAAGCTTCTGGTGTGGCAGTGTAGTAAAAGGCTCTTTCACTGTTTCTGACTTTCATAAAATCACAGATCGGCTCAATTTCCTGTTAAATCTGGTTTGATTTGTCTGAAGTTAGAGATTTTTACAGCACAGGTGAATTTAATATACGTTCCATTTATATATATATATATATAAAAATTGGTGTTTGATCTCATGGGCTTAAAAGGTTTAAACCTTTGACATGGTCCCTTTTAAACATTTAAATCTTTGGGCTTTTGATTCTTTAAAAAGAATCAAAGACAGATGATTACTGTTATAATAATGTGAATATAAGTCATTGCTAAGCATAATTTTTTTATGATAAATTTAGACTCCTATCTTCAAGATAAAGACATAGTTAAATCTGTTAATCTAAATATTTTTTCATATTCAATTTTCAACTTTTTAGACTTATCCTGACCTGGGAGATGCTAACCTGATATTTCAGATGTTTCTAAGTGTTTTAAGTTAAATTAATTACCCTGTTAGTCTGGTACTGTAGCAAAAATGACCAATGCCATGAATAACAATATAGAGGTTGCTGTGATCTTACATTATCACTTTTATGACTAAATACATTATATTTAGTGACTTATCCTGCACTTACACTGAACAAGTTTCCAGAGTAAGAAAGGTATCCAATGCTTCATGAAATATATCTAAGTATATGGTAAAAACTGCAGGCACTAGTGTATAAAATCAAACATATTTCAGTGATAGATTTGACATTTTCAGTTAGGGTAGGTATTTATAAACTGCTTCAGTAACATTTTATGGTGTGATCAGAGAGCTCATAGTTTTCTTTCTACATGAAACAATACATTCTTTGGGCTTTCTACATGACTATGTACTGTAAATGTATGAGAGTGTCTCTGATTGGTTGACGAGCTGCATCAAGCTGCAAACGTTGGTTTGCATCAATGCTTAGAGCACATAAACTCTGCCCACACAGGCAAAATGCTTCAGACCACAGAGCCTCCTCATGCCCCTTGAAGCACATCCACTATAGACTTTACATGTAAACTGGCTGCCTCTGACGCATCACAGACATTTTATCCTCCGCTGTCACACCTAGTTCCAGTTCACCATTCTTACTGTACTGGCACTGGCATAAAACATACATCTATAAACCCACTAAAAACCAGATAGTTTTTCATGAACTGTGGAAGCCTCATCCTTACCTGCAAACAGATTGCCACGTTCACCCTGCAGCCGAAGGTGGTGCTGACAGCTCGCGGTGATAACCCCAAGTCTTTGAAGATCTTTGAGAAGGACTGAGTGAGGCTGATACGAGGCCGTTCCTCTGCCACCACCATGCACGTTCGAACACACGACAGATTTACGTTTCTCAACTGGATGAAGGAAAAAAAATAAACAGAAGTTACAACAGCAACAGCTCTACTGTGCGATAATCAAAACTTAACTAACCTGCAGGAATACAAGCACCTCTATAAGGATGCAATTATTCTTGCAGATGTTTTAAACAAACATCTGCAAGAATAATTACATCCTTATAGAGCTGCACTATCAAGGTATTATTATTACCATTATTGGAATATATTCTAATTTAAACAAAGCCTCATCCAGCTTTAAAGAATGTGTACAGTATTTATTTCAAACTAGGGCTGCAACTAACAATTATTTTGCAAATCTGTCGATTATTTCTTTTCGATTAATTGATTAATAATCGGATAGTATAAGGTTCCTAAAAGAAGACTTTTTGTGAAATTAAAACAGGAGAAACTAAAACTTTTCCAGTTGAGGAGATCTGGATAGAGCATATTAACAGATGAAAATGATGAAATTATGTTTTTTTTTTACAGTTTTGTTATAATTGCTGCTCAAGGTGGGGCGCTCTTTCAGTTTAAGTCATGTTTTCGAGTCTCTATACTACAGAAATCGATTAACCGATTACTACATTATTTGACAATTATCAATAATCGATTAATCAAGATTAATCCAATTAGTTGTTTCAGCCCTATTTCAAACCCATGTGCATTTCACCTTATAAACTAATACTTCATGGACTATGAGCAGAATGACAAAGTGAATAGCTGTGGATAAAACTGACCCGTAGAGCTTCAGTCTGTGAGCCCAGACCCTTGGTGCACATCTCCATGACTGAATATGAGCAGAAGGTGACGCGGACTTTGTACTGGCTGACAGCAGTCAGCCAAAGTGAAGCATTAGTCTCCAGCTCCAGAGGAGGAACAAGGATCGACTGGTGTCCAGAGTAAACACTAACACAGAAACATGAAATTAAGCTGAGTGGGGTTACACATGCGGATTGCATTTCCCTGTCACTCAGCTGCTGGTTTACCTGCACAGGCACCAGAGGGCCAGCCCCAGGCCGCAGTAAGGGTCCAGACAGATGGCGATCTGTCGGGAAGGGTAGAGCTCACACTGCAGCTTGATGGAACGACACAAGGCACTGGTGGCAGAATGAGACATCTAGAGAGGGGGGAGGGGATGACAATAAAGAGGAAAACTGTGTCAACTTAGAAAGGAGAGAAAAGTGAGAGACAGATAGCATCCTAGCATGACATCAGATCTATAAGACAATACTGTGAAAATTTTGATGTGCTTCGGCATACTTTGACCCCTGCCAGGATCCCAGTAGTGGAGACACTGAAGTCTAGGTAAGCTAACATCTCTGGTGTTGGGGGTTTGTATGTCTGAGGACATTTCTTCCTGGGCAAATCATCTGAAGAACCAAAGAGACATTTTATTGCAGAGAAAACTGATCATGTGGTTTAAAAAATGGTTGTCCAACATTATGATCATCCAAAGTGAAACCATGTGCGGGCCTAAATGATGTACCTGTGTCCATCACTGTGGGCCAGCTCTTGATGTCTACAGCTGCAGCAGCCTCTTTGGATTTTAGCAGCTTCATTGTTGCTTGGGTTGTCAAGATACACACTGACTTACTGACCTGCAACACACACACACAAACACACACACCACACACACACACACAAATCAGTATGAAACAAACAACAAAAAACATAAACACTATTGACCGTATCTTTCTTTCTGTGAAAAAGGAGAGCAAATTGTCCCTCTTTGTTTAATTTTAATGTAAATCAGATGGATTATTTTAAAGTTTAGAGGTTTGGGTGAGAAACAGAGTGTTTTACCTCGACAATCATTTTGACAGTAGGCAGGGTGGTGGCCAGGTTCTGTGGGTGTGGAGGTCTAACAGTGACTGGGACACACCCAGCATACAGGCAACCGTAGAAGGTTGCAATAAGGTCGATTCCTGCAACACACAAGTTACCCAATAGATAAAATGAACAAACTGTGGAGTACCAACATGGATCAACCCTCAAAGCTCTACTCAAATGAAAACAACAGAGACAGTAATCAGCAGAACATTTTACCTGGTGGGTAGACAAGCGCTACGTGGTCCCCAGTGTTGAGGCGTCCCAGCAGAGCTGCTGCCACTCGCTCTGCACGCTTGTGCAGCTGCAGGCAGGAAGCTGTGCTTGCCACTGTGCCCTGAAGGGAAATGACAAATAAGTTTATTCTAAAGCATCTGATTAAGCTCACTCAGAATTAAAACAAGTTATTTTAATAATTTTATCCGATGGTGAAAAATAACTACTTGAATGTATTTCATTATATCCCCTGAAGCAGGAAAACTATTGAGCACTTTTCCTGAGTTCTCAGTCCTTATTATTCAATTTAATACAATATACTAAGTTAACAGTAAGTATATAAAGAGATTTAATTATTTTCAAAAAACATAGTCATATTCAATATCAGAATAAATGTTCAGATAAGGTTCGATTATCTAATTGGAGGTATATCTTTAAGAAAAACAGCTTTTATGCATGTATTAAACATCCTTTTTATGATGTGGTCTGATGTAAATTTAATCTTTGATGTTTTTATTAGTTTCACATGGAAAATCTTCAAAATTCACAGATATAAACTCTTGAAAATAGTTTTGTGTGCAAATAATCTAATTAATGAGTTATAATTATTAGAGGTATTCAGGTCTAATTTATTCAACATGACATATTATTATCAGAAATATTATCGTTAGACTGAAGTCTGATCAGAAATGAAGGCTCTCACTCAACCTTAGAATTGAGAACGAGGAACAGAGGATGATCCGGAGTGGCCTGAGCTCTCCACTGTAGCACATCCTGGATGTAGAGGAACTGTTGGTAAAACACAATTACACATGTTTCATTTAAAGGCGAGGGGGACTTAGATAAAAACTTATATAAGAAAATAAACATTGTTTCTTCAGGCTCAACTTAATCATAAAGTGAAGAAACTGAAGGGGCTGGATGATGGGAATGAGTGCTGGCAGAAAAAATTAATAGAATAAATAAAAACTTTTTTTTTTTCAGTTTTGAAAGACAAGAATGCTTTTGAATTGTTCTTATTTGATTCAATCCTTTTCTTTAGGGGTAAAAAAAAAAGAAATAGTATGAAGGTATTTTTCTCAGATTGAATTCCTCAGATTGGCTCCTTACCTGTTTGCTGAGGAGTATGAATGAAATGGATGGGAGGGGGACTATCTACCTTACGTGCCTGGTCATTGTCCTCCAGCTGCCCCAGGTCTCTACCGCAGGCTTGTGCTATCCTCTTGCCTGCCACCAAGTTTCCCACTATCATAGAAGCAGGGCCGACCTCTATGGAGCACAAAGAGTTCAATCATAACACATGGGTGAGGCAGAGCATGAGTGACCAATGGACATAGAATAAGCGGCATTACAAAGGATCTCCTTTGTGTCTACAGCCAGAATTATTGATCTACCTGGTTGTTTTTGTCTCGGTTTGGGCAGGTTGGTCACACATGTGTGAGGACACATGAGGACGTTGCAGGGATGCAGGGCGCCCTCCAGGAAGCGCTGCTTGGTCTCAGATATATGGATACCACCCAAGGGAGCTTTAGGGAGAGTGTTGGCAGGCACCAGAGCTAAGCAGTACACCCCTACCTGGTGGATGCTGTCGATAGCCTGAAAAAAAAAACACAACACAAAAATTTGACACTTAAAACCCATGCATACGCTTTCTAAATTAAAGGAAAAGATCTGTCTAGAACCAAGACAGACAAAAACTTTCGATTAACACTTTAAATACATATATTTTCTGATTTGGAACAGTTTTTAGCTGTAATCCAGCACATTAGTGGACAAACAAAACCATATGTATGCAGCTTAAGCTCCAAACATAAAAACTAAAAGAGCCCTTCCTAACTCAGATAAAAGTAAAGCCCTCAAGCAGAAGGTGCCTGCACCTGAAGGACACGGCTCATCCACTGGAAGCTGTCCTCCTCTGAGGAATCTGGCCTTTGCTCGGCCACAACAACGATTCTCTCGTCATGTAGGACCGACACAGAAAACACTGCAATCCTGGAACCCAAACACAAAATCAGACTATTGCAGCTACAAAAACACAGTCGATGGATGTGATAGAGCCTGTATTGCTTATTTGTTCTTGTTGTTTTCTTCTTTCCTCTTTTACCTTCCCCTGTAGACAAACTTCATTGGCTCTACAGCCAGCGCCGTGGCAACCACGTCATCTGCATTGTGTCTCCGGCCAGAGACCACCATGAGGCCATCCATCTTCCCAATGACAAACACCAGGTTGTCCTTCAAAGGGAAAATTAAGAAATCTTGGTTAAATGGACATTTGCTGAGAGAGTGTGCAGTTAAACAAGGAGTGTCAACTAAAAGTTGAAATTAGGTTAAAATATATCAGGTATAGCGAGGTTTTGCAGTTACTACACAAAAAGCAAAGTGGGGGAAGCTTGAGAAAAAAGAAAATCAGTCATCAATTTAAACTGGTCCAGAAAAGGCATTTATCAATTTCAAAATCCTTACAGGTATAGAGAATTGAATTCTAATATAAAAGTAATTATAAGATAAAACTACATAAGACTATATAAAATAATTATTTTAACTGTATCAGAAATTTATGACAGAAAAATAGCCAACAGAATAAATAAAACTTTCATAGTTGTATTTTCTTACATAGTAAGTAGGTAAAAATATTGAAATCCCAAAAAAAAAAAAAAACTGTGAATCAAAAGTGTTTTATGAACAAGAATCTTTTTTTAATATAATCTAGCTTTCTGTCACTGGATTAAGTTTGAAAAACGTTTCTTAGCTATTTTTTTTACAGATTTGCCACTAAACTTCAGGTTTAAATGTATAAAAGGAATAAGAAAGTTTTATCATCAAGAACTTACTGGACCAACAAAGCCGAGCAGTGAGGTTCTGGTGAAAGGTCTGTCAATGATGGGAACTCCAGAGGCTTTCACTGGGATCGTCTGCAACAAGAAGCAACTCAGGTCACAGTTCATAAGGGAAACAGACACATAAGGACTAATCAGCATAGCAAAAAGAAATAGATTTAAAAACACAGTATTTTTATAGAGCAGGATTATGCTAAAACATTTTAGTGAACATTTTATTAAACATTTACTTCAAAGACGTTCTTGGTCATTCCTGGGAGACCGTAGTATGTTAAACCAGAGCTGCCTGAGCTGACGCAGATCTCTCCAACCTCGTCTGTCTGACAGAGAAAAGGTGTTCCCTCTACTCGCACCACGCAAACAAGGGCTGGGAACAGAGAATGGAAACAGAATAAGGAGCGCAATGTTTCCACGTTCCAACCTTAAGTATGAAAGTTCCTTTAAGTTTGATAAGTAAAGAAAAAAGCACTTAAATGTTATATCAAATGTTTCCAAACTATACATATATTTAGTTTTCTCTTTGTCCTGCTTTACCTCCAGGCATGACCTGCCCCACATCCTGCACTGTGAGGACAGAGAGTTTCTCCTCCGTGTCTACTCGGATCACACCGTGACTCAGCCCGCTCATGGACAGCACTGCTTTGCCCGGAGGAGGAACACCCATCTCTGGAGGTCTGTGGCAAACACACACACAAACACACACACAAACACACACACACACACACACATTACTAAAGATAGGGAAAAAGGCTCTAAACACTCATGGAGAAACATTAAAAATATCCAAAGCTGTAAGAGACAAACACTAGCTGAGTATTCTTCCAAATCCTTCTTTTGGTATATTATGTGACAGACCAACACAAAATACAATTGGTTGTAAAAAGATAGGTCAGTTATACATGATCTATTTTTTTTAGAAGTATGATTTTTTTTTTATTTTTATAGCTGTATCTTTAGCTGCTCTGCTTTGATAGCTGTAACTGATTAGATCAGCTTAAATACATCTGCTCTGTGAAACAGCAGATGTATTTCTGAGGTTTGCAAGTCAATGTTGAAGCACTTTACAAATCAGTCCTTTATGCAGCAGTGGCAGAAAGAAAGACATTATTTTAAGGAAGCTATAACAAGTTATGTAAGCAGTGTACCATCAGCTCTAAAGAAGACACAGGCGATTCTCCCTCTAATGTGTCTGGGCATAGATACGGCCCCCTGAGTACATAGAGGACTACTGAGCAACATCAGATGTGCACGCTGAGGCCTAAATCTTGGCTTATATATCTCTCTCTCTATATCTATATAGATATATATATCTATATAGATATATATATCTATATAGATATAT